AAAAATGGCTGGCTTTAAACACCATAATAATAATTTAATAATAATAGTTTAATAATAATAATTATTATTATTTTTTGTTTCTAAATGAATTTTTGTTCCTCTTGTCTTCTACAATTCTACTGCTTTTGCCTTCCACCACCCCATTTTAGTCTTCTATCATCCCCAAGGAAGCAGTAACACCCACATTAGGAATCACTACACTAAATCAACACTTGATCAATATTTCTTTTGTCAATATACAATTTATAATCATTTATGCTGTATCTACTTGGAGAAATACCTATATAAAACCATTTAGTTATTAATTTATTATATACTTTTATGCAAACAGAAGTAATGTTTATTTAATTGGTTTCTAATATTAATGCAAACTGGAGCTAGTGTACAATTGTACTTTTATTAATAAAATTTAATTGAACTGAATTATTTGGGAAAATGTTGAATCTTACTATTAAATAAATTTAATTATAATATATGCAAATTTTACTTTTAGTTAACAAGCTCTTTATACCAATTCCCCGGTAGCAATTCAAGGCAAATTTTTATCACATTTTAAGTAAAAAAGCTGAATGTTGTGATAGATTTTTATTTTGTAAATATTTTAATAGCTTTAATTATCCTTTTTTCTTTTATTAAACACTTCGTCTCATACTTCTAGAAATCCATTGTGATTTTTTTTCCTACATATTAAGTTAAGTATTTCTTTGCAGTTTTTATTAAATCCTTCATGTATACAGAATCTTATCTTCACTTATCAAGTTTAAATTTTAAGTACTTCTACAAAAACTTGTTTTTTTTCAGCACACAAATAATCATTGCCACAGTTTTTTTTATCTTTTACTTTTTAGGGCTAATTAATATGCTACATTTTGTTTACACATAGAGGAGTTGGCAATCAATAATGTTTTTCATGTGCTTCACCAATGTATACTTGTAAATAAAAATAAAATATATTGTTAAGTGTATAAGGATTTTAAAACTTTTTCTTATTATAATCTCTATAAACAAAAGTAAAACTGGTTAAAGACTACATAAGATTTTAATAAATGTTTTTGTTACAAAACAACATTTATTAATATTTAAAAAATTAATCAATAATAATTTTATAAAATAATATATTTAATACATTTAAACTGAACAGATTATTTTACCAATATATGAATAAATCAAGATATTTAATTTCACATTACTTACAGCTCTATGTGGTGAATGAGAAGCTCCTAATGGAGAGGTTTGCATTCCCACCATTACAGGATGAACTTGACCAGGAGATCCTACTCCTATTTGTTGTTGTCTTTTTTGTTGTTTCATTCTATATTCTTGTAAAAGCATACTGTGTTGGCGCGTTTGTTTCCTTACCTATTTAATAAAAAAAGCATTTATAGGTAATCTATTAATTTAATATAATTTATATTGAAACTTGTAAAATAATATTTAGTCTACAGATAGGTAGATCATTACTTCAGAAAAATTTTTAAATTATAATTGTTAATTAACCCAGTAAAACTGACAACAAATATACTATTTTCATCTGATAGCAGATAACAAGTACAGTAATACCCCGACTTACGCTACCACGGAGTTACGCGATTTTCAATCTCGTCGATTCGTCTTTTGTTTGGGCGCCATGCAATTCTTGCTTACTCACTCCCCAAACACTATTGTTCAGCTTACATGTTCGGACGTATAGCTACAATTTACTTTATGTTATTTATTTCTGTGTTTGTTATATCTACGGAGACTCGAGAGATTCTACTATGTCATCCAAATGAAGTAGAACTGATTCTTCTGCATCAAACAAGAAAACAAAATCTTTATCTTTGGAATGTAAAGTTAACATTATTAAAGACTGCGATACAAAAATGAATATTTGTGAATTGGCAAAGAAGTTTGATCTACCGGAATCGACGGTCAGAACAATTATAAAAGGTAAAGAAAAAATTTCTCGAAGCTGCGAAAAATGCTCAATCTTTTGATTCAAGCATCATTCGCAAATGTCACGGTATTACCGCTGAGATGGAAACAATGTTAAAATTATGGTGTGATAATCAAGTTAATGTGAAAATATAATTTGTTATAGATATGTATCATCTAAGATTTTATTAAACATTTTTTTCTAAATTATAGGTTTTCTTTAGTCTCAGACCCCAATTAAAAATTATTTGTATGTATTTATATGGAAAATTATACCCCAACTTATGCAAATTCGACTTACGCGGTTATCGCTCGGTCCCACCTATCGCGTAAGTTCGGGGTATTATTGTACCACTATCTGAAAACAAGTTTCTCCTTCAATTGTCATAGCTCTTTGAACAAAACTGTGAGGATCGTAGGTCCGACTTTATGCAAATTTCAGAAAATTCATAAGCCTATTTATCCATTGCAATCTTAAAGAAAACATCACACAGGAAATGGATTGAATGACATCCTTTTCTATCAACAACCAGGAAAGAATTAAACAACCCAGTGTTAAAGGAGGAGAAAGTCAATTGTCGACTTGTGAATAGAAGAAAGCATACAAGACTCAGACCAAATATGGTAATGACAGCTGAATGTAAGTGATGTTATAGCATCATCAAATGGGATCCATGACCTCACACCTGCAGATTCGTCATTACAATCACCTTATGAGTTTTCCCAGGCTAAATCAATAAAAGGGAGGCGAGAACTCAAGTAGTGGTGGACTACATCAGATGCCATATACAGGCCATACATCATACATCTCCAGCCACCCTGTTCCAGCAGATATCTTCACACTTGCCATAGCCAGTCTGAAATATCCCAAGACGCCATATGGAACAGACTCCTTCCAAGTCTCCCTCCTTGCTATTATCATAGATGATGATGGCTTGAATCACCTTATAAAAAAAAAACATTGATCAAGGCTCACCCTCCATAAATACAGAGAACCACATCTGTTTCTGAGGTATTTCTGTAAACTCTCTCTCAAGAGTGAATAGCAGATAGAATGCAAACAGAGCATATAGATATTTAGTCATGTCACATTAGATGTATATTCTGTATTTCTGTGTACGCTTAGATTTAGAAGTTTATATTAAACTTATATTTTTATTCGTTAACCTGGCTACCTGTCGCTATCAAACCTGGGACACTTTTCAACTTATTCACTGACCTCCCCACTTGATAATTTAAGACCCTCCTATTTCAAACCATCCAGTGATCCCGAGACAGGTTTTGCCAACCTGAGGCCAAAGAAGGCTTAGGAACCCCCTACCAATGACGTAATCTCACAAAACCCTTCATAAGAGCTGTCCATAAATTACGTAATATAGATAAGAGCAGGCAAGTATGGAGCTAATTATTACAGTTTGATACATTAAAAGGAAGTGGGAAATGTTTAAAAAATATTGATATTATGTAATGCTAGAGCAAAAACCATGGGTAACAGAATGATTCATTTTTGTGTCCAAAGGGTTAAATAATAAACTGTACTGTTTTTGTCACTACTTTGTATGTTATATATGTAATTAATAAAATAATTTAATTACATTTGACAACAAAAAAAATGTTTTTGAATGTTTCCTTTATTTCATGAGTGAAATCTTACTAATTTTGGGGTGAGAAAATTGAATATGACAAAGAAAAATTTTTATTAGCTCTAGTTTCTGTGGTATANACTTGACAACAAAAAAAATGTTTTTGAATGTTTCCTTTATTTCATGAGTGAAATCTTACTAATTTTGGGGTGAGAAAATTGAATATGACAAAGAAAAATTTTTATTAGCTCTAGTTTCTGTGGTATACAATAGATGATTTTAACAGCATAAGAGAAAACAATACATTTTAATTACATATGCTAACAACATTGAAAGTGCTTTTGAAATTTTTTAAAATTACGGTAACATTCTAAGAGTTCTGAATTAATAGAAGAATACCTGGCAGATGGTTCGGTGTGAAGAGAATCATGTGGTGACTTCATGAGATCGTTTTCTTTTGGCTTGCCTCTTCTGAGTGCGTTCTGGTGCATCCCTACACACAGACCAGCAGTAGTCTGCAAGCATTGCTTCATTCCAATGGCCGTGATGGCTTTGTTCCAATACAGAAATATCCTGGTGGAATCTTTCCCCATGTTCATCACTGACAGCTCCACAACTAGGAGGAAAAAGTCTAGGTGGGAATGGAGAAAATGGATTTTAAGGGACATGTTGCATCCAAGTTGATGATATTTTTCCAGAAGTATTGTCACCAACTGAGTGTAGTTATAGTCTCTTTTGTTGCCTAAGAATCCATGAATAACTCCCTTTAAGGCTTCCCAAGCTTCCTTTTCTTTTCCCTCCAAAACTTGATCAAATGAGGGATCCTTCACAAATTTTCGAATTTGTGACCCAACAAAAATACCTTCCTTAACCTTTGCATCACTCAATCTAGGAAATTTGTCTCTTAAGTACTGAAATGCCTGTCCTTTCTAGTTCATGCCTTTGACAAAAGTTTTCATTAAACTCAGCTTGATGTGAAGGGGTGGAAAAAGATCTTTTGGGTCCATGAGAGGCTCGGCAATGATATTTTTCTTGGTGGAGTCAAGATAACTTGCAGGCCAGTCCGCTTGAATGTAATGTGATTTACTATCCTACTGTTCCACATACATAAAAAGCAACAGTATTTAGTGTACCCCAGTTGCATTCCTAAGAGTACAGCAATGACTTTTAGATTGCCACATATTTTCCACTTGTGCTCAGCATAATTGATTGAGTCAAGCAGGGCTGTCATGTTTGCATATATATATATTCTATAATAGAGTGTAGTTTTATTATATACTGATCTGAGGAGTTTTACAGGAAAAATAGAAATGAAAATTTGAAATAATTGAAGATGCACTACAGTCAACCCCCCTATAACACTGTTGATTATTCCGTTTTATATGAATTCCATGTTGTACGAGTCACTTAGATTTTACAAATAAGTAAGCAGTTCACAGCCTGGCACACATATATTGTAAAATCTAAGTGACTCGTACGACATGGAATTCATATAAAACGGAATAATCAACAGTGTTATGGGGGGGTCGACTATAAATAAGAATGGAACGATCTCGCTTAGATGGATAGTTTTTTCAAAAATTTAGAGTTCACTTTGTATTGATTTTATTAGTATATGGCAAATAAAGTGACCCCTATTTAGAAGTTACAAACACGAAGAAAACACGGGAAACTCCACGTGGTCAGCCAGTTGTTCAGACTCAAACCCACCACCACTACTAGTGTTTAGAGTTTTTATCCACTTTTTCACTGCTAGACATTGCATTTAATAATAAAATACGTTGAAAGATTTTACAGCAATTTATTAATTAGATAGATGATCTTCATAAAGAGAAAACCAGTTGAATATATTCTTAATTATTGCCAGAATTTATCATAATTTTCAAAACATATTAAAGAGATTACATTAATAATCTCTATTTGTTTAGTTAAATCCATACCCATTAAATTCCTTTACAAATTGCCATTTGTCATCTGTAGCAACTGAATCCCATTACATTTAATGAATGACTAATATGTCTTATACATTGTTTAATTATGTGCCATCTCGGCAATTATCTGCCATGCCGATAGTCCATTATATTTCAAAGAACAAAAATCCTTCTTCCTTTCCAAGATATACAATAAATGAAAGACGATAAAAAGTAATTTCGAACATGTCAGCTCCGACCCCGAAGACAATACTCGGATTACTCCGGTATCGGAATAATCACCGTCCGGTCTTACATAAAGAAAAATTAAATTAATTTATCGTTTTAATTTTATTTTTTAAATTTAAATAATTTTATCGTATAAAATATTAAATTTTTTTTTAATTTTTTTTTTACGAAACCAGCCGATAGTCGGGAAGAAAATTTACACAAACATTCCGTCGTTTTCGTCCGACAGGTGGCGTAGACGGAATGTAAACAGAAAGAGGAAGGTGGACGACGACATGCCGCATTTTATGTCCGTCGGCGAGTGATGTCCACCGTTCGGTGCTACGTACGAAACTTCTGAAAGGGTAAGTACCAAATTCGATTTATCATCTCGGATCAAAAGAGAAGCGGTAGAAGATCGATCGGTAAAGACAATTGTAGGACTTCGGTAGTGTTTAAAGGGGATCGATGAAGAGAGAGCGATCGACCTACGTTCTTAGAAAGAGCGGTCGAGGTCGAAGACCGTCGGATCTAGCTTATAAACGAGTCGAGCCATCTTTTTTTTTTTTATTATTATCATTTCAGTCGCCGCCGTCGACCGGACCTGTTATCGTCGAAGATGGCCACCTTGACGGAAAACGTCGTCCTGGCTCGTACCAGAGCTCAAGATCTGAAGAGCGTCAGGAAACTTAATTGTTGGTGTGTATTTTTTTCCCCCTTTTGT